TCCGCAGCAGCACTGGGGTCCCCCGCCGCAGTGGGGTCCGGGAGGCCCTGGGAGCACCGGCCGCAGCAGCAGCTCTTCCAGCTGGGCCCCTCGCCCCCCTCGCCGTGACGCTGGCCCCTGCACCCACTGGTGCGTCACCGGCCGGGCAGCCCCTGTCTCGGTGGTCGCGACGACCACTCTGCCGCGCGATGCTTCCGCCGCCTCGACGACCTCTACCGGGCTCGTTGGGGCCCTCTGGCGGTCACGCCTCGCTGGTCTCGTCTGTTAGCCCGTAAGATTGATGTCTTTGATCTGTCCATGGACGATGCGCGTCAGCATGCTTTGTATGTTGATGCTGACTTTAGTGCTGATGGATCTGTGTGCTCGCGTGTTCGTAGGTTAGCCTGCTTGCCTCCTGCTAGTGTAGCCTTGTGCCTGTCTAGCTTAGGTGCTTGTGTTGCTGCTCTAGGTGCTTGTGTAGCGACTGGGTCTGGTGACCCTCCGGCTGAGGCCTCTCTGTCGTTCACGCTGGACTCGGGCGCGTCTCAGTGCTTCTTCCGCGACCACACGACCCTTACGCCACTCCTCACACCTGTGTCGGTGGCTCTGGCTGATCCTACCTCTGGACCAGCCGTTGCGCGTAGCTCCACCACCCTCCCGTGCCCTGTGGTCCCCTCTGGTGTCCTGCGCGGCCTCCACATCCCCTCGTTCACTCGGAACTTGGTGGGTGTTGGATACCTCCAGGACAAGGGGATCACGGTTACCTTCGTGGGGGGTGGGCGGACTGCAGTCTGTACAGACGCTACCACAGGTGCTGTTCTGGCCACGTTCACCAGGGAGCCCCGCTCCGGTCTCTACGTCCTCCACACCGAGCGCTCCCCGGTCGCGTCCTCCCCTCAGGTCGTTGCGTCCCCTCCAGCCCAGGTCCCCAGTCCAGTTGCTGTGTCTAGCCAGGTAGTAGTGTCCGGTCCAGTCGCTGTGTCCAGTCCAGTCGCTGCGTCTTGCTCTTGTCGCTCTCTCACCCACCGCACCGTCCTGTGGCACCACCGCCTTGGCCACCCGTCGCTCCCTCGCCTACGTGGCATGCTCAGTCAGGGACTTGTCTCAGGTCTCCCACGCACCTTCCCGTCGCTCCCTCTCTCGCCTGCCCCTCCTTGCTCTCCGTGCGTCGCCGGTCGCTTACGCGCCACTCCCCACTCCTCCTCCCTTCGTCCGGCCACCGCTCCCTTCGAGACTCTCCACTTGGACGTCTGGGGCCCTGCCCCGACGCAGGGGTCTGGGAGGGAGCGTTACTTTCTGGTGGTCGTCGACGACTTCTCCAGGTACACCACAGTGTTCCCTCTTGCGAAGAAGTCCGAGGTGACTACTACGCTGATCAGGTGGCTTCTAGCCACTGAGGGCACTCGTGGTCGTCGAGTCAGTTGTCTCCACTCCGACCGTGGGGGCGAGTTTCGCTCCGGCATTCTCGGCGGATTCTGCGGCGAACAGGGCATCACCCAGTCCTGGACGCTGCCAGAGTCCCCACAGCAGAATGGGGTTGCTGAGCGCCGCATAGGCTTGGTCATGGACATCGCCCGCACGTCCATGATCCATGCCCGTGCGCCCCATTTTCTGTGGCCCCACGCGGTTCGCTACGCCGCACACCAGCTGAACCTCCAGCCGCGTGTCTCGCGGCCCGAGGTTTCACCGACCAGTCTTTGGACTGGTTCCCCTGGTGTCGGGTCGGCCTTTCGAGTCTGGGGCTGCCTTGCACTTGTTCGCGACACCTCCGCGGACAAGCTCTCGGCACGCGCCGTCCCCTGTGTCTTCCTTGGTTTCCCAGTGGACTCTGCCGACTGGTCCTTTTACCACCCTCCCCTCCACCAGTTCTTCGACTCCCGTGACGTCCGGTTTGACGAGTCCGTGTCCTACTACACCCGGTACCCCTGTCGAGGTCTCCCGGTACCCCCTCCCCCTCTTTTCCTCGCACCCTCTCCTCCTCCTGCTCCCGCTCCTCCAGTACCCCCGCCCCCCCCTGGTCCTGCCCCGTCTGGTGTGTCCCACGTTACCCCTCTACCCTCGGTCGCGCGTCAGGTAGCGTCTCCCTCCCCGCAGTCCTCCTCACAGTCCCCTCAGCAGCCTTCGGCACTTCCGCGACAGGTTACTGTGGACTCGGTTGGTGTTGGAGCTGGAGGTGCAGCCACTGGCGGTGCTCGGTCTGGGGGTACTCGGTCGCGGGGTGCTGGAGCTGGAGGTGCTGGCGCAGGTGGCGCTAGCTCTGGGGGTGCTGGAGCTGGAGGTGCTGGCGCAGGTGGCGCTAGCTCTGGGGGTGCTGGAGCTGGAGGTGCTGGCACTGGTGGTGCTAGTTCTGGGGGTGCAGGAGCTGGAGGTGCTGGCACTGGCGGTGCTAGTTCTTGGGGTGCTGGAGTTGGAGGTCCGGGCACTGGAGGTGCTGGTTCTGGGGGTGCTGAGTCTGAGGAGTCTGACCCTGGTTCTGCGGAGTCCACTCCGCCTCCCCACCGCCACGACACACGACTCCAGGCTGCCCGCCGGCGTGAGCGTGAGGAGCAGGAGCGGTTGGAGAGGGAGCGGCAGGAGCTACAGGTGCTGGACCTTCTGGAGCAGCAGCGGCAGCAGCAGCAGCAGCAGCAGCAGTAGGAGCCGCAGCAGCAGCAGCCGCAGCAGCAGCAGCCGCAGCCGCAGCCCCCGCCGCAGCAGCAGCAGCCGCAGCCGCCACCGCAGCTTCCTCTGGAGCGGCGGTTGTTCCCACCTGTGAGTGGCCTGCGGGCCCTTGGTTTTTCCTCCTCTCCTCCTGTCCGCACCCAGTCTCCTCCTGTGTTTGTTCCTCCGTTGCCTCCTCCTGACGACCGTCCGGCGGTCTGGTCTTCTCCTCCTCCCCAGTCTCCTCCTCCTTCGGTCCGTCGCGACTTGGTCACTCGTTGTCCTCCGCGTGCTCGTCACTCGTCCCCTGTTAATGACCTCCACACTGCCCTCCTTTGTACGTCTCGTCGTCGTTCTCCTTCTCCTGTGTCCGTTCTCCCGTCTCCTCCTCCGTCCTCTCTCCCAGCCCTCCCCACTCCTATCACTGACTACTACCGCACTGTTCGTCCTGTTGCCGCACGTGTCCTCGCCACTCTTGTCACCGACTCTCGTTTCCCTCCGTCGTCGGTCTCTGCTCTTACTGCCGCTGTCGCTGAGTTTGCTGCCGCCAGCCGCCTTGACTACGCCACCCGTGTGGTGCCAGCTCCTCCCTACCGTCCTCTGTCCGTCGGGGGTGGGTTTGCCCTTGGCTGTGACGTCCTAGAGGACAGAGAGTCTGAGCTGGAGTACTGGGCAGCCGCTTCTCCCTCTGTGTGTGCCATGCTGCTCTCCCCTGAGGGAGACCCCGACGCCCTTGACATACCGACTCCTCGCACTTACCGCGAGGCAGTGTCAGGGGCGTGGGCCTCTCAGTGGAAAGCGGCTATGGACTCAGAGTTGGCGTCTTGGAGATCCACAGGCACCTACGTCGACGCAGTTCCCCCTCCCAGGGCGAACGTAGTCGATGGCATGTGGCTCTTCAAGGTGAAGCGGCCGCCTGGAGCACCGCCGATGTTCAAGGCGCGCTACGTGGCTAGGGGCTTCAGTCAGCGTGAGGGAGTTGACTTCTTCCAGACCTTCGCCCCGACCCCGAAGATGACTACTCTTCGGGTGTTACTCCACATAGCAGCGCAGCGAGACTACGAGCTACACTCCCTCGACTTCTCCACTGCGTTCCTCCAGGGCCGACTGCACGAGGAGATCTGGCTGCGCCGTCCTCCTGGCTTCACTGACACCTTCCCACCTGGGACCCAATGGAGCCTGAGGCGACCAGTCTACGGTCTCCGCCAGTCGCCCCGTGAGTGGCACGACACTCTTCGCTCCACGCTTCGTGACCTTGGGTTCAGCCCGTCCTCCGCCGACCCGTCGCTGTTTGTTCGAGCGGGTTCTACTCCTTTCTTTATCCTTGTCTACGTCGACGACTTGGTGTTTGCTACAGCAGACAGGGCAGCACTGGCTCAGGTGAAGTCCGAACTGCAGAAGAGACACAAGTGCACTGACCTGGGTGAAGAGGCATACGGGCGATACTACTCAAGGTAATGCGTTGTTGTTTCTGCTTGTTACCATTATACAATCTAACATTCTGCTTATGCACCTTTGCAGATACGCATGCGGCGAGTTTGTTTCGGCGCTCGCAAGCTACCTCCAAGGGCGCCAGCTGGCAGACGTCCAAGCCTCGCCATGGTACGGGCTCTCATTCGATGAGAGCACGGACCGCGCGCACGGCAAGCACATGATCATGTATGTGCACTTCGAGCGCAACGAGCAAACGGAGGTGCAGTTTTTTGGCAACATACCAGTCGACAAAGCCGATGGCGCCTCGCTGTACGCTTCCATCACGGCGCATCTTGACAGCAAAGGCTTGTCCTTGGACAAGCTTGCGGGTGTGTCCACTGACGGTGCCAAGGTTATGGTGGGAATGAAGAAGGGGGTTGTGGGCCGTTTAATGCAGCGCTGCCCGTGGCTCGTTGCTGTGCACTGTGTGGCACACCAGTGAGTCAGAATGCTTGTTTGGTATGTTCCTTTCTCATCTCTAGTTGCTGTTTTTTAACTCATGTTTCACTTGTACCCGTGTCACAGGGAGGCGTTGGCAGCAAAGGATGCTGCCAAGAAGTTCCCTGACTTCAATGTCATTGACTCACAGATTCGCAAGACTGCTGAGCACATCGGCCGCTCCAGCATCTCCAGAGATGCCTTCATGCAGCTGCAGGACGTGGTCATGAAAACCCAACTGGAAGTTCAGGGCATTTTCGACGTGCGCTGGCTTTCACGCGGGGATGCAGTGGCGCGGTTTTGCGAAGTGCTGCCAATCCTCCTCTGGCTTTGGCACGAAGAGGACCAAGCCGCGTACAAGATCGGCACAAGTTTCAAGTTTCAGTTCATGCTCTTCTTCCTCGCCGACGTGCTGGAGATGCTCAACACCCTCAATATGGCGTTTCAGAGGCTGGTGGTAAGTTTGCATCATGTCATGGCCTTTGCTGATACAAGCGCTCTTTATTAACTGCCCTGCCCCTCTTCCCTGCCCCTCTGCCCTGCCCCTCTGCCCTGCCCCTCTGCCCTGCCCCTGTGCCCTGCCCCTCTGCCCTACCCCTCTGCCCTGCCCCTCTGCCCTGCTCCTTTGCCCTGCCCCTCTGCCCTGCCCCTCTGCCCTGCCCCTCTGCCCTGCTCCTTTGCCCTGCCCCTCTGCCCTGCCCCTGTGCCCTGCCCCTCTGCCCTGCCCCTTTGCCCTGCCCCTCTGCCCTGCCCCTCTTCCCTGCCCCTCTGCCCTGCCCCTCTGCCCTGCCCCTGCTAATGAGCAGGTGGACATCGGCGAGGTGAAGCTCCTCGTCGATAAACTGAAGCTGAAGCTGGCGCAACGTTACGTGGAGAACCGCGCAGACTATGGGACCCCGAAGAGCAAGCACCTGCATGCTTTTCTCGAGAAGCACGGCAGCCCTGACAAGCGCGAGATCACCATCCGCGGCCTCGACAAGCAAGGGACCGCATGCACCATCAAAGACATACTGCATGAAAACCCCATCGGCAAAGACAAGAAGACGGACCTGGATTCGTGCATCAAGCTGGGGCAGGAGTTTGCGCAGGAGTTGATCGCAAAGCTGGACTACCGCCTTGGGGACCTGAAGCATTTTGACGGGGCAAAACTCTTCATGCCAATGCACTACCCGCCGCGCCCTGCTGACCGTGAAGGATGGCTCAACGTCCACCTCTACGAACTCCTTGACATGTTCAAGGAGAAGCTGCCCGGTACGTAAGAATGCCCATGATCCAGTACATTTTATATTCCCAGCAGTGTTATTATCATAGGTGCTTCCATGTTTAACTTATTCTTCTCCTACGCCCACCCCACCACCCGCAGGTGTCACGTACCAGGAGTGTGAGCTGGAGATGGAGCTCTTTGCTGCCACAATGTTCAAGAAGTTCAAGGACCTGACTTTCCAGCAAGCCCTCACTAACGTGCTACGCACCTCAGACTGGGGGGATGATTACCCCACCCTCGTGCACTTGTGGCGTGCACTTGCTGTCCTGCCCCTTAGCACTGTTGAGTGCGAAAGGGGCTTCAGTAGGCAGAACATAATAAAATCATGGGACAGGACTGCTCTTAGTGATGTTAAGCTAGATCAGCTGATGACTGTGAAGATGCTAGACTATCCTGTGGAGTGGGTAGAAGTGCACAAGATCTTCACTGCTGCCAAGGCTAGGAAGCCTTCTAAGCGTGCATAGAGAAATGACGCCAAGTATTTTTTTTTTATGTAGTGTTTGCTTGTAGTAGTTTGTAGTTGTAGTCATTGTAGTTAAAATGAAGCAGCAAAATATGACGCGCCAAACCTGATTCAAAGGGTGGAAATTTTTCCAGCCCTGACGCCTAAAGGGCCAAGATTCGCCCCAATCCTACTAGATACAGGGTCGCACGTGGCAGGCCCCCTGATTTGCCCGGGGGCCCCAAAACGAATCGACAGCCCTGACCTGCACCCACCACTTCCTAGTTTAATCCCAGCCATGCTCACCACTGCAAACATATTCTGAACCCCTACGCATCTCTGAACAACTCAGCCTAGTTGGTTAGAACGAGCATTTTAGTCGAGTTCTCCCATTTTTTCTCCAGTTATTAGATGTTCTACTCTTGTGTCTGCCATTAACTTAGCTCGACTGGTTATCCAGCTATTTACTTACACAAACATCACGCCGTTTTTTATTCACTCATGTTCAGCCACATCGGCATTTCGAGCACCAACTGTTAGGTGCTAGTCAAACACGCTAAGATATAGTCATCGTGAATGACCCTAATTATGTTATTCTTCTCCTTTTCCATCCGTTATTATTTTACTTTTACTCCTTTCCGTGGCAGCGATGCACGACAGCAAGTAACAGCTTGTCCAGGACATCGGAAACGACGCATGGTATTCTAAGACACTAAACTAAAAGCTGTAAGTAGTCATTCCTTGCGATTTCTTTGAAGTAAACGTTGTCGTTTCAACAATCTTTCCTGCCGTTCTAGTTTCACTCTTGTTATGGTTTCCCACTTTAATATGTTTCTGTGTACCTTATTTCCCTTGCCATGGCAGTGTTTCACGGCAGCAAACGACAACTTGTCAAGGACATCGCAAATGACGCATGGTATTCCCGACCCGAAACTTCGCCATGCATCTACTCATTCTGTCTTTGTTTACTTGGAATTTTACTAATTACTTCGTTACTATTTACATGGTATTTTACTTCCGCTTGTCATTGTTGTTTTATTGTTTGATTATCCGAATTGACAGAACAGAATCTGAGGAGATAGCATATCATGATTCCGTAATTGGTAAGTACCCGTGGAATCTTCTAATGGCTTCTTTTAACCGCCGTTTTTTTGTACTACTCTCTGTCAGGTTCATAATCGACGATTAATCCGATGTTTATTATCAGCCATTCCTATTGTCATCTTCAAAGCCGCGGATTTCGTTGGGTGAAGGAAATATTCGATGCGTTATTTCTGTGTATCATGTGAACAGAGTCATTTCACTAATACGGTACTTGTTTTTCTTTGTTGTCAGATTGATGTTGTTTCATTGACTCTGGTTTCTGGAAGCTTCATGAATTTGAATACATTGGGAAGCAAACATAAGATGCTATTCAAAATGGATGTACCCATATGTGCTTTCAATTTTAATAAATTATAAACCGTGTAATAGTGTACTGCATACAAAGCACGTGGGCTTTAAACCCAAATGTACGAAACCCAAATGCCATTCGAACCAACCCATAAGTGTCCTCACGAAATCCTAGAGGTAGCCCAATAGTGTTTTCCTTGAGTGTCCCATGACTGTCCTGAAAGTGTCTTTCGGGACACTAAGCCTGGGATAGTTTTGAGACCCAAAGCCTTCATCTTTGAGAACACTTGTGGGTCGCCTGCGGTTTTGTCTCACATCCATCCCAAAAATGCCTTGAGGGACAGATGTGGGACCTGCCTTTATGGTGATGGTGTAGTGCGACAACGGAAGTTGCGACAACGACTGCGACGAAAAGCGGCGACACCTTCCCGCCGGCGACATCCTTTAATGTCGGCAGGCTCATTGCCGACGGCAAGTTTGTAAATGAACTTCAACCAGATACATAAAAACAATAAGAACTGCTGCTTCTGAAGAAAAAAAAGACTTTCTGAAGGAAGGGTAGGAGGACGAATATGCTATTTCCGCACACCGCGCTTTTCACCTCAATTCACACCACGTTGAAAGGTTTTTGGATTTGGACAAATATGCTTGGCAACACTGCGTGAGGATTTGGGCCTTCAGGTTAATCAAAACGGTTGAGTACGACGCTGTGCAACGCAATGTGGTAAGTACTTCACCGCTTTGAATCGCAACTCACCTTCCCGATCGATGACCTCAGGGTACATTCCGCGCTGGACATGTCCCAATCGAAAGTGTCTCAATCGTTTCTACCGCACTGCATCGTATTACACCAAATTGCACCCTAGTTTCGAAATTTTCGCGTCTCTGGTTTAGTTCGGTTCGGAGCGGTACACTCGATTGGGACACATCGATTGGGACAGTGTCCACAGCGGAATGTACCCTCAACTGAACAAGCATCAAGCTGAAGTGGTGAATTGCGATACATCTGTCAGAGTGAATTCCAGATATTGTGGGACAGCAAGACTTGTGAAACACGAAACAACTGCCGTTGACTCAGCTCTCCGCTGCAGGATTAGCCTAATTGGATGCGTACAGATATAACAACTGGGTTCAAATTCACAAACACACAGGGAAAGCTAGCAACTGTTACGGAATGATACAGAGAGTAAATGGTAGAATCCAAACCGCAACCCCATCAGATCCCTTTTCTTCTCCCAAACTCCTCCGAAGTGACCACTTCCCACCCCTCGCCATCCTCGTCAAACGCCAGGACCAACGTGTGGAACTTAATCAAACTCGTCCTGTGTCCCATACTGACAAACGACTTCACCCTCTCCCGCATCATCCCATACAGCCGCGCCTCATTCGCCCCGTCCAACGCACTCGTCGCCTCGTCCAAAAACGCCATGTACGGCCGCTGCAGAAGAAGACGAGCGAACGCCACCCGCTGCTGCTCCCCCATAGAAAGCATGTCAGAATAGTCACATTCCACAGCGAGCCCCCCCACCCGCTCAGCCAAATCCGGAAGTGAAACCTCCTGAAGCGCGTGCAACAGCTCTTTATCAGAAAAATCCCCCCTCACACTCCCCCCTCCCTCCTCACCGCTGCTCCCCTCTCCCTCCAACCCTCCGCCTCCTCCCCCTCCCCCGCCCTCTCCCCCTCCACCTCCCTCGAGAGCATTTCCGGGGAAAACCAGCTGGTCCCGGAGTGTCCCGAGTGGCATGTACGGCTTCTGGGGCAGGAAAAAAGTTTTCCCGGGCGGCGGAGACTCGATGGTTCCCTCTCCGAATTTCCACAGGCCGGCAATGGCTCGCAGGAGGGACGATTTTCCGCAGCCGGAAGGCCCCATGACGAAAAGGGAGGCGCCGGGGGGGAGGGAGAAGGAGAGGGAAGAGGGGCAGAGCGTGTGGCGGAGGTTGGGGGTGCGGATGATGACAGAGGAGAGTGTGAGGCACGGGCCTTCTATGCGCTGAATGCGACCTGGGGCGGAGGGAAGTGAGGGCACGAGGGGGGTCAGAGGGGCAAGGGTTGAATTGGAGGTTGGGTGCGCGGATGATGACAGAGGTGAGTGTGAGGCACGGGCCTTCTATGCGCTGAATGCGACCTGGTGTGGGGCAATGCGGAGGGGAGAAAGGGGGAGAAGGGGGATGATTGCAATTGTCAGAGGGGTAAGGATTGTCCCTGAGTTGAGGAGTGAGGGCATGGGAGGGGAGGGCAACAAAGGATGAGGTATGATGAGCAACCAATAGAGGGTAACGGTTATGTTGGGATTTGGGAATTGGGGATTCGGAGAGTGGGCGTGATGATTGGGGCAGGGCATGTGGACTGGAAGTGGGGATTGGGGATAAATGCGTACCTGTTGCAGTGGTGCATTCAATAACAGCAGCTTCTCTTTCAGCAGCAGCAGCACCGCCACCACCTGTGCTTCCCCCCATAGCAGTCAACTCCAGCAGCGGGGCACCCTCCCCATGGGAACCACCTGGCAAAACACCCGAAGCAACAGAGCCTGCCGATGCCTCTGCTGCTGATATGAGAGCAGGTGCGGATTCAGAAGTGTGACGAGTGGCAAGCCTTTGCCCCGTGAGGGTGGGGGCGAGGGAGGAGGAAGAAGGGGGGGCGGTGTGGGAGGGCTGGAGAGAGAGGGAATGACCAAGAGCGAGAGAGTGAGCGGAGGTGGAGGAGGAATGAGAGGAGGAATCTTCGGTGGTTGATTTAGTGTGAGAGGAGTGAGAGGGATGAGAAGAAGAGTTAGGGGGGTGGGAGTGGGCGTGGGAGTGGGCGTGGGAGTGGGTGTGGGAGAAGAGCTTGCTAGAGTCATCATCTGCTGCGAAGTCGGAGAGGGAGGCGAGTAGACTCTCCAGACGCTCTGTCTCCGCTGCCAGCTCGCTGGGAGTGGGGAGAAGAAGAGAGGGGGGGGCAAGAAGGCAGATGGGAGTGAGACAGGGAGAGACGGGGGTGGGAGGGGGCGTGGGAGTGGGCGTGGGAAGGGGCGTGGGAGGTGGCGTGGGAGAAGAGCTTGCTAGAGTCATCATCTGCTGCAAAGTCGGAGAGAGAGGAGAGTAGGCTTTCCAGACGCTCTCCGCTGCTAGCTCGCTGTGTGTGGAGGAAGGGAGAGGGGGAAGGGGAAGGAAAGGGAGGCGGGGTGGGAGAAGGCTCTCCAGACGCTCTGTCTCTGCTGCGAGCTCACTGTGATTGAGGTTGGGGGTGGGGGAGGCAGGGAGGCGGAAGGGGAGGAATCAGATGGAATGAAAGGAAACGGCATATGGAGGGAAGGACGAGAGTAGGCTGTCCAGACGCTCACTGGGAGTGAGTGGCAAGGGAAAGAAGGGCAAAGAGAGTGGCAGGAAGAAGGGGCATGTGACAACGACGGGTGTCAATGACAGTACGGTGGGGGCGCCGAGAAGAGAACAAGCCACCTGAGATACCAACCAAGAGTGAAATCTTAAATATTCACCTGAAGAAACACCTGATCGAGTAGAATTGCACAACGAAAAGAGGGCAATTTATTGAACACCTGGAAATGGCAAATTGTTACAATATGCATGTAGATCAATACGTGAGAAGATATGAAGATTCAACGTTCACCTGGAGGTACCTGAACAAACAACAGAACAGACACCTGAGGATTCACCTGAACGCGTGAAAGTGCATGACAATGACACTGAGTGTCTTGTAGACCGTGTGAAACGCATAGCTGGCCTGAGAGATCACCCCAAACTCAACCTGGCGAGAGAGAAGTGCCGGAGAGAAGGGATGACGGGAAGAGAAAGAGAAAGAGAAACAGAAAGAGGGAGAGGGGGGGAGAGGGAGAGGAAGAGGAGCACCTGAAGGAGTCGCTTTTGTGAGCTCTCAAAAGTGCCCCAACCAATATAGCACCTGAAGGAGTTGAAGTTGAGAACAATGACTGTGAGCGCGCGGTAGATGGTGCTGAAAGCGTAGCCCGCCTGCGCTATCACGCCAAACTCGACCTGGATGGGTGAGAGGGGTGGAAGAACGGGCGGAGAGGGGTGGAGAGGGGAGGCGAGGGGTGGAGAGGGGTGGAGAGAGGGTTAGCCCAGCCCCCACCTGAAGGAGTTGAAGTTGAGGACAATGACTGTGAGAGCGCGGTAGATGGTGCTGAAGGCATAGCTGGCCTGCGCTATCACGCCAAACTCGAACTGGATGGGGGGAGGGGAATGAGCGGGAGAAGGGGTGGAGAGGGGCGGAGAGGGGTGTAGAGGGGTGGAAAGAGAGTGAGCCCAGCCCACCTAAAGGAGGTGAAGTTGAGGACTAGACTCTGAGTGCGCGGTAGATGGTGCTGAAGACATAGCCCGCCTGTGATATCACCCCGAACTCGACCTGGCAGGGGGGATTAGGCAGGGGGTGGGCAGGTGTTTGAAGAAGTGTTTTGAGACACGTGTCTGCCTACTCCCCCCTGCCACGTGTTTTGAGACGTCTCAAAACACTTCTTCAAACACGTGGCAGGCGGGAGTAGGCAGGGGGTGGGCAGGTTGGAGGAGGGAGAGTGGGGTGGAAGGGGGGAGCGAGCGGTGCCCCAGGGAGAGGGGAAAACTTACAGCTCCGGAGAAGTATCGCGGTGCCACGATGACAGCTTGCACGGAGACGGTGGCGAAGTCGCAGAGGTTGGTGAAGAAAGAAGACGGTGAAGGATGGTGGCAGGACCTCAGGGCAAGGGCAAGGATAGCACTTTCAGCTCGGGAGAAGTAGCGCGGGGCGACGATGACAGCAGGGACAAAGATGGTGGCGAAGTCGCAGAGGTTGGTGAAGAAGGAGAGGTGTGAATGGAAGAGTACATGAAGCAACATGTAAACGGGACGGGAGGAGCAGCACTTACAGCTCCGGAGAAGTAGCATGGGGCGACGATGACAGCAGGGAGGGACGAAGTTGGTGGCAAAGTTGTAGAGGTTGGTGAAGGAGAGGTGGGTGGGAGTGAACGGAAAAGTGCATGAAGCAACATGAAACGGGATGGGAGGGGAGGCACTCACAGCTCCGGAGAAGTAGCGTGGGGCGACGATGACGGCAGGGACGAAGATGGTGGTGAAGTCGTAGAGGTTGGTGAATTGATAGATGGGTGAGAGGAGAGGCCACACGGGAGGGGCAGCACACTTACCGCCCCAGAGAAGTATCGCCGTGCCACGGTGACTGCAGGGACAAAGATGGTGGCGAAGTCGTAGAGGTTGGTGAACAAGGAGAGGTGGGTTAGCGAACAGGGCAAGAGCGGCACTGGGAGTGTGGCACTCACAGCGCCGGAGAAGTATCGCGGGGCCACAATGACCGCAGGGACGAAGATGGTGGCAAAGTCGTAGAGGTTGGTGAAGAAGGAGAGGTGGAACTGCAGCACGAGGCGGTTGCGCACGTTGAGGGCCACTCGGTGCAGGAAAGACTGGGAGAGCGGGAAAGGTGAGAAGGGGAGAACAAGAATGACAGAGGCTGGTGAAGAAGGAGAGGTGGAACTGCAGCACCAAACGATTACGCACGTTTAGAGCCACCCGGTGCAGGAAGGACTGGCGGGAACAAAGGGGCCGGGAGGGTGAGGGATACAAAGAAGAGGCTGCATTGAAGGAGAGGTGAAAGTGCAGCACCAGAGGGTTGCGCACGTTCAGAGCTACCCGGTGCAGGAAGAATTGGGAGGGGCATGGAAGGGGCACAGGGCAAAGGTAAGGGAACGAGAATTGGCTGCATTGAAGAAGGAGAGGTGAAAGTGCAGCACCAAAAGGTTGCGCATGTTCCGAGCGACGCCATGCAGGAAGGACTGGTGAGAAGAGCGTGGGACACAGCGTGATGGCCACTCAGTGATCGAAGCTACACACGTACCCAGCGCAGAGAAGGGAACGCTTCATTTACCCCATTGAAGCTAGCAGCCTACCACCCACCTTGGCCAAGGCCTCCTCCTTGACTTCTTCCCGGTAGAACGCGATTGACTTGACTCCCACGTTGCCCTTCTGAAGCACCTCGAACGAGGAAGGCTGTTTCCCTTACCCCTCTGCACCCACTCATCCACCTACCAACCTACCTACCACCCACCTTAGCCGAGGCCTCCTCCTTGACCTCCTCGCGGTAGAACGCGATCGACTCCACATTGTCCTTCCTGAGACACCTCAACGGGAAGAGGAAGCTTCGTCCTCCTCTGATACCTGAGTACCCACCTACCTACCTACTTATTCACCCACCCACCTTAGCTGACGCCTCCTCCTTGACCTCCCCACGGTAGAATGCGATTGACTCCACGTTGTCCTTCACTCGCACCAGGGAGTAACGCAGGTCTGCCTCCCGTTGAAAGCCCTGCAGGGAGAGACAGGGGCGGGGTGGAGTGGGGTGGGGTGTGGTGGGATGGGGTATGGTGGAGTGTGGTGCAATTGACTCCACGTTGTCCTTCACTCGCACCTGGGAGTAACGCAGGTCTGCCTCCCGTTGAAAGCCCTGCAGGGAGAGACAGGGGCGGGGTGGAGTGGGGTGGGGTGTGGTGGGATGGGGTATGGTGGAGTGTGGTACAATTGACTCCACGTTGTCCTTCACTCGCACCAGGGAGTAACGCAGGTCTGCCTCCCGTTGAAAGCCCTGCAGGGAGAGACAGGGGCGGGGTGGAGTGGGGTGGGGTGTGGTGGGATGGGGTATGGTGGAGTGTGGTGCAATTGACTCCACGTTGTCCTTCACTCGCACCAGGGAGTAACGCAGGTCTGCCTCCCGTTGAAAGCCCTGCAGGGAGAGACATGGGCGGGGTGGGGTGGGGTGGTGGGGTGGGGTGGGGTGGGGTGTGGTGGGATGGGGTATGGTGGAGTGTGGTGCGATTGACTCCATGTTGTCCTTCACTCGCACCAGGGAGTACAGCAGATCTGCCTCGCGTTGAAAACCCTGGACAGGGGAAGATGGGATTGGGGAGCACTCTTCAATGGAAGTTATGGAACCACAGAAAGTGGCAGCATGTTGGCCTCATGAAAGCGACACCCCCCCCAAAACTTTTGAGACGTCTTAAAAGTCGTCTCACCAGTTGTCTACTTACACGCGTATTTTTATGGAACCAGAGAAAATGGCAGCATGTTGGCCAGGTGAGTCGCTTGTTGAGTCGACTCCCCCCAAAACTGTCCCCTTGCTGCTGCTAAGCCAACCCCACCCACCCCACCTGGAACTGCAGCCAGGTGAGTCGCTTGTTGAGTCGACTCCCCCCAAAACTGTCCCCTTGCTGCTGTTAAGCCAACCCCACCCCACCTGGAACTGCAGCCAGGTGAGTCGCTTGTTGAGCCAACTCAAACATTGCTGCTTGCTTCTAAGCTAAGCCCACCGAACTCCACCTAAGCCCACCTAAGCCCACCTAAGCCCACCTAACCTCACCTAACTCCACCTTAGCCCACCTAACTCCGCCTAACCCCGCCTAACCACACCTCACCTGGAACTGCAGCCAGGTGAGTCGCTTGCCAAACACTCTGACCACCACAAACGTGCCAGAGACCGCATAGGCCAGCAGAAACCAGACTAGCGGGGGGGAGATGTCCCTGTGGGGTGGGGAGGGAGGCAGAGGAAAAGGGCGGAAGGTGGGGGAGGGGTGATGGGGGTGGTGAACAGTCGCTTGCCAAACACTCTGACCACCACAAATGTGCCAGAGACTGCATAGGCCAGCAGAAACCAGACTAGCGGGGGGGAGATGTCCCTGTGGGGTGGGGGAGAAGGGGGGAAAAGGGATTGGAGACACATGCCTATCACTCGGACCATCACAAAGGTGTCTGACACTGCATAGGCCAGCAGAAACCAGACTAGCGGGGGTGAGATGTCCCTGTGGGGTGGGGGGAAAGGAGGGAATAGGGGGTGGGGGAGGGGCAGAGGTGAAGTGTGAACATGCACATGTCAAACACTCAGACCACCACCAACGTGCCAGACAGTCACTACATGCATAGGCTAGCAAGAACCAGACTAGAAGGGGAGAGGTGTCCCTGTGGGATGGTGTGGTGGGTTGGGAGGTAAGAAACGAGAGTGGTGGGACATGGCGCATGGGACAAGACAAGGCACAGGGGACAAGGTGCATGGGACAAGGTGCATGGGACAAGGTGCATGGGACAAGGTGCATGGGACAAGGTGCATGGGACAAGGTGCATGGGACAAGGTGCATGGGACAAGGTGCATGGGACAAGGTGCATGGGACAAGGTGCATGGGACAAGGTGCATGGGACAAGGTGCATGGGACAAGGTGCATGGGACAAGGTGCATGGGACAAGGTGCATGGGACAAGGTGCATGGGACAAGGTGCATGGGGCAAGGTGCATGGGACAAGGTGCATGGGACAAGGTGCATGGGACACATCCAATGCAGACAAGGTGCATGGGACACATCCAATGCAGACAAGGTGCATGGGACACATCCAATGCAGACAAGGTGCATGGGACACAACCAATGCAGACAAGGTGCATGGGACACATCCAATGCAGACAAGGTGCATGGGACACATCCAATGCAGACAAGGTGCATGGGACACATCCAATGCAGACAAGGTGCATGGGACACATCCAATGCAGACAAGGTGCATGGGACACAACCAATGCAGACAAGGTGCATGGGACACATCCAATGCAGACAAGGTGCATGGGACACATCCAATGCAGACAAGGTGCATGGGACACATCCAATGCAGACAAGGTGCATGGGACACATCCAATGCAGACAAGGTGCATGGGACACATCCAATGCAGACAAGGTGCATGGGACATCGCGCTTGGGACATCGTGCTTGGGACATGGGGAATAAGACACGGGGTTTTGGCATGAGGTGCAGAACAGAACATGTACAGCCTCGTGCGAGACACAGGATTGTGGTGAAGATGAGAGCGATTTGGGAGGAAAGTTTAGCAACTGAATCATAATTGAAGCTTTCCAGAGCACGTATGCAATGTTTGTTTTATGATAATATACTAGAAAACATATTCATTGATAATCGAAGCTTACCAGAGCACATAGGCAAAGGCGACGAGGAGTGATGATAATCTGGGTGGGGGACAAGGGGAATGGGGGTGGAGGGGTGAATGAGGAGGAGATTGTTATGCTTGAGTTTCTAAGTTCTAAGGGCGTATCCCTGGGTGGTGGCAGGGCCACTGTAGATGGCAGGCGGGAAATGCGCATGCCACGAATCTGTATATCGCGGGGTTGGTGTCAGAGAATTCGAGCGCAGGCGCCTGGCGAGTGATTGGTTGCGCGACACATTTGGGGCGCAAATTTCCTCGCACGACCCAACTCCAAATTCGTCATGCCGGTAAATTTCCCGGCCACAGCCCACAAGAAATTGCAGACCTCGTTTGAACGGCACGATTGCCTGCTTGGTTGGTGTGGTTCCTCAAATCATCTGGGGGTATAAACGGCAAGGCGACGTGAAAGGGGATCAGGTTGTCATGTGATTGGTGGATGCAATTCGGGGGCGATTGTCGCAAAATGTTTTTCGGTTGCCACGAACTTCGAAGCGCGCGCGACTCGGGACAATTGTTGGTGGCATGCGGGTTTCCCGCATGCCACCAACAGTGTCAGCTACAGTGGCCCTGCCACCACCCAGGGATACGCCCTAAGAGCGTCCCCGCAGATACGCTGGTCGAGGTTGTGGAATATCTCAGGTTGCCTAGAGCGATCTAGAACGACCAGCTTGCCTGGAACAACCAAGTTCTACAAACGAGACTCACATTGAGGGACGTCCTGACGACCAAGTGCTTCACATCCTCACAGATGCGCTGATCAGGTTAGTTGAGCGTCCAGTGTGTCTAGAACCAGCAGGTTTGCATTCAGCAGTCTAGAGCTGCGCTGCGGTGCACAGTGCACTGCACTGGACTCGCAGCAGTCTAGAGCTGCACTGGATATGCATGGCTTACATTCAGGGACGTCCGGACGAAGTGCTTCACGTCCTCGCAGATACGCTGGTCGGGGTTGTCCAGTTTCCCAGCCATCTTCAAATCCAGAAATGCGTGGTTGGCTGGCAATGGCACAGGAAAAAAATGCAAGAGATTTCGGGAGGGATGGGAAAAAGCGGCAGGTGGGCACGGGGGGGTCACGACCAGTGTGTGGTGTGGAGATGTACCTCCAAAAGGTTTGAATGGGCAGTGGACACCACATAAGAGAGTCGATGCAAGGCAGAGCTTGCTAAATCAGCACTTAGTTAAGTATCTCGAACCAGCTCTGACATGAAAGTGCCTTGAGAGCAGCACTTACCAAAGTACCAAGGGAGCAGAACTCACCAAAGTATCAGGAGAGCAGCGCTTACCAAAGTACCAAGGGAGCAGAACTCACCAAAGTATCAGGAGAGCAGCGCTTACCAAAGTATCTGGAGAGCAGCAGGTTGGTGAGCCACAGGCGCCACTCGAGGGACAGTAGTTCCTGATGTCCAAAAATAAGAGGACAGAGGGACAGGAGGACGACAGGGGAAAGGCAACAGAGGAACGGGCGGTTGGCATAAGGAACACCAGCGAGCAGAGATATGAAGGAACAGTGGGAGGGACAAAGGGACAGGGTCAAAGGGACAGGGGAGAGGGGAGAGGGGAGAGGGGAGAGGGGAGAGGGGAGAGGGGAGAGGGGAGAGGGGAGAGGGGGGAGGGGGGAGAGGGGAGAGGGGAGAGGGGAGAGGGGAGAGGGGAGAGGGGAGAGGGGAGAGGGGAGAGGGGAGAGGGGAGAGGGGGGAGAGGGGAGAGGGGAGAGGGGAGAGGGACAAAGGGACAGGAGACAGCCGACCAGGGCAAAGGGACAGGGGACAGGGGAGAGGGGACAAGGGGGAACAGGGGAAAGGGGAAAGGGAGGCATGAAGTGGACCCGGGGGAAGGAGGGGATACAAGGGGGGGAAAGGGGGGTGGAGCTGGGGAACCGAAGGGAAACGTCTCAATCAACTACATGCTCTCTGGAGCGCTCACCTGCACATAGTTGAAGAATGCAAAGAAGGGTGCAGCAACGAGGATGATAACGATGAACGTGGCGACCCGTGGTAGAAGTCACTCACTCACTCGCTCACTCACTCGCTCACTCACTCGCTCACTCACTCGCTCACTCGCTCACCCACCCACTCACTCGCTCACTCAATCACCCACCCACTCACTCGCTCACTCACTCACCCACCCACTCACTCGCTCACTCACTCACCCACCCACCCACTCGCTCACTCACTCACCCACCCACTCACTCGCTCACTCACCCACCCACTCACTCACCCACTCACTCACTTACCCACTCACCCACTCACTCGCTTACTCACTCACCCACTCACTCACTCACCCACTCACTCACTCACTCACTCACTCACCCACTCACCCACTCACTCACTCACTCACTCACCCACTCACCCACTCACTCACTCACTCAGTCACTCACCTGGACGTAGTCGAAGAGAGCAAAGAAGGGCGCAGCGACGATTATGATAATTATAAACTTGAACACCACATCATAAAAGTCGGTCTGCTTCTTGGCTGACAGCGCCGTGTTGAAATCCCTCTGCGTGTAAGAGATGATAACGTACATCTCTGGTAGGGATTGCGTAGGAAGAGGAGGAGGATGGGAGGGGAAAGAAATTAGAGGAACGAGAGCCGTGTTAAAGTCCTTACTGCGTTACAGGAACTACCAGCCATCATGCTCCAACTTATGTAGTCCAAGCATGCCATAATAACTGGATTCTTAGCTCACAACTTCACCAAGATTCCGTACCACCGTTTTGAATATCACACTTAGCATCGGGCTCCACAACAACTGGAAGGCACAACCCTTTTTTTTGGAGGTTCATTTTGAGAATTCTCAGAATCAACCTCCGTACCACCATTTTGAATATCACACTGACCATTGGGTTCCATTGGAAGGCACAACCCCTCCACCCACCATACGACTAGAAGCCTACTACCCACCAGTGGTTTCCAGACCACAGGTGAGCAGTAGCGCCATCGACCAGCGGGCCTTCTTACTGACAAAATTCAAATGTGACTCAGATATAACTAGGAGCGTACAGTTCACCGTTTGACTACTCGCAGCGTACAACCTACCAGTGGTTCCGAGGCTGAAGATGAGCAGCAGCGCCCTCAACCCACGAGTTTTGAGGCGCTTCAAAAGCAACCCTAAAACCTACCAGTGGTTCCGAGGCTGAAGATGAGCAGCAGCGCCATCAACCCGCGAGCCTTCCACTTGCAATCGCCTGTGAAGAACGCAAGAGCCACTCTAAAGAACCTCCTCAGCAGCGTCCAGCCGTTGATCTTCTTGTCCTGAATTCCCTGGCTCCCATCCGCACCGTCGAAACTTCATTTCCGCTGATAACTTTCGCCGAGGTATCGTCGCTATCCGGGACCCCGTTCAGCAGAGTCTTCACACCACCAACTCCGTAGCGAAGGATCGCGACGAGATTGGTAACCAGGCGTTGTGACCAGCCACGCCGGGATGGAGCAGCGGAGGCATCAGGACTGTTGAATCCATGGTGACTGGAGGAGAAGCTTCGGTGACTGGAGCCGGACTTAAGAGGCACTTGGTCGGAACACACAGGATCGTCCGACGGATTTCGCTTCATTTTTACTCTATCTTCTAATATAAACTAGTCCCTTTTTAATCCGCGTTTAAGGCCGCCAGCTGAGTAGAAGCCTGAAGCGTAAACAACTCATGAAAATCTAGAAGTACCTTCAAAGATGGTTCAAATGCCGAACAACCAGATCATGAATATGAAACGGACTTCCTCATGAATCTATTTCGTCAAAGATTCAGCAGCACTGGCACAGAAGACCTGGGACTAAGACTGTAAAAGGTGAAGGGTGAAAGCTTTGCGGGCAGCGCTGGTGAAAACGCATAAAGGATCCGCCTTGGAATCACCAGCGAAGCGAACATCGAAAAAAACCCGGGACTGTGTTGGGGTGGGGTGGGGAAGTTGTGGTTGTTTGTGATGGGTTGTTCCCAAATACGCGTCACTGTGGCGATAGTTTTCGGTTAATATATCTCAGCGGACAAGCGAGTCCGCCCGGGGGAGCTCGCTGCCCGCGGGCAAAAAAAATAAAACCCTATCGGGCATGCATCCGGTCAGGGAGGCATCAACCCTAAACACGGGGAGGCATGGATTTAGGGTTGATGCCTCCCTCGGATGGCATGCCATTCGATAGGGTTTTAGTTTTTTTCTGCCCGGGGCAGCATGTCGTCAGGTCGTCAACAGGTCGTCAGGCTTGACGACCCGTTTCCGCTGGGATATTCAGGTCATACGAACTCAGTTGCAGCCGTGTTGTCAGTCGCAGCCAATACTGAACACGCTCGGACATTGGCGTGGATCATCGTGTCTACGTACACGTGTCATCAGCACGGGCCATTCCTATCGCTGGGTGGTGATTTAGGGTGCAGATGTGTCCACAGTTGTCGCTCTGTCGAGTCGATGGCGAAGCGGTTACATTACCTGGCGAAGTGCTCACGAGAGCTAATATAGAAGTAACAAATGCCTATTGTTCGCTTGCGCTGTGATTGTAGTTTGGATTAACTACATAAAACCGCTGTACAGTTATTGAACTGTATTTCGCAGTTAAGTATCCCGTTTGCTTACAAATTATAAATTTCAGTAATGTTTCAATAAAAACATTCATGCTTAACGGTTCGGAATTACTATAATCTCGCACAGCCAACTAATTGAGGACATCACGCTTTATTAATGTAATAAATTAGCATTGCCGCTTAGCATTATGTCACTACACCAACACCCTCTCCAACCAGGGTTCTTGATAATACGGTACAACTTCCTACGGCAATCCTGCGGGGAACACCTGAGACTCATACCCCTCTATCAAAATCTTCACGTTGGGGGACATCCTGAAGCATGCGGGAGCAACCGGGTCCCATATCGTTGTGTCCCCGTTCTCATACGTCTCCCTAATCCAGGTGACGAGGTGACCAATCTTCACCTCGACATTCTGCTGGTTCACAGTCTCGGAACCGTCGAGTGAGGGATTCACTCGCCCTCTGGCATTTGCCAGAGGCCATTCCACCTGCATCAAGCAAGCATGAGAATGAGCCTACTTGTACAGGCGGTAATGAGCTTAAACGCAGGAAATGCGACAAACTCACCACATTCAATGCGTAGCCAACTTGCGGGAACTTAACCGCAATGGTTGTCGCCTTCTTGCTTCCGAAACCGCGCAGCATCACCAGTTCGAATGCAAGGTTGGCAAACGGCCTACAGGTTGCAGCATTGAAGTGCCAGTTGGAACCAAAGCGGGCTGTTTATAACAAACATATTAAGGAGGGACAAACAATACAGGATAGAGGAAAGTCAGGTACAATGAAGAAACGCCGGGTTATGGAGGAACACAAAGCAGGACACACGTACCATGAAGGTAGAAGAGGGTCCACTTCGAAGGGGACCTGCTGCACTGCGGCGCCACTCCCTCGTCCGCCAACTCTTTCCACTTACTCTCTGGGACGCACCCGCCCGGGCCGCGACCGTACGTCTTAATGTCGCCGTTGTAATTGCTCCGCCTCTCTGACGCCTTGTGCATGGCAAGGTTTTCCTTTCCAGGGAACATGCAGATGACGTAGTAGAATACGTCCTTCCCCACGCCAGCTTCCGCGTACTTCTCTGCCATCATTTCTCTCAGCTCGGGCCACAGTGGGTAGAACTTCATCCTCCAGGCAGGCGCGGCGGTCGTCATGAACGTGAATGACTCGAGAGCTTTTTTCTGCAGTCAGGGGATTCTGAGGAACAATGATTAGCGCAAACGAAGACGAATACAAATACAGTTTGTATCAAAAGGGCAAACGAATGCAATTATAGTTTGCGGGATATAACATTCAATTGGCAAACAAAACAGTGAATACACTTACGGAGAACAAATGATCTTGTTCTAGTGTCGTAGGAAGCAGGATGTTGCCGTTCGGGTCATGTGGTAGCAGTTGCAAGTCGAAACTCAGGATGAGGGCCAAGTTAAGTGTCTGCCTCTGCTCCTCACCGTTGTTGATAATTTGCTGCCAAAGAGCAACGACCAGGGCGGACAGCTCGTCGTTGCGCAGATTGAGCGCTGCGTCAGCAGCCTCCTTATCGTCAAGCGCGATCTGGAGGTCGAGTGCGCGCTCCTGTGTAAGCTTGAGCGTCGCCGCCAGGTCTTCGTTCTCAGCACGAAGACGAAGCTCTGCTTGTGTACGCACCGACGGAAGTTCTGTTTGTGAAAAAAGAAAAACCAGGCGAACGAGACGGGTGCGACATTGGGGCTTAGGCGAGAAACAATACTAACAATACATACAACAACCATCGTCAAAGGCATAGCGAGCAACAATTAAAAATCGCAATGATGACTGATTAATAAAATCAGGTAAAAAAATGACTGCGCGGTTCATACCAGAGCGTGCTCGAGAAACAACGGGGAGGCCATGAGTGTTACAATGCTCAACGGCCTCCGTGGCGCCTTCCGCTGCGTCTTCAAAAGGCCCCGTCAGATTAAGCGGCGTGGTTAAAATGTCGGGGGAAGGAAGAGTGGCCGCAGTGACTGGCTGAGCAGGGGTAAGAGTTGTTGTTCTAGGGTTGTTACTCGCCTCTGCCATGTTGCCCTTCTTTTGTTTCTTATGCAACAACTCAGCAGGCAGGATGCCCTGTGCCTTCATGAGTTCCATCCACGCGACGAGCTCATGGAGTTTCGTGACATGATCGCCAGCGTCGCTATCGGTCGCCGAGTCGTCCAGCAATGCACCATTTCGGCCAAGTGTAACCAGAACAGTGGTGTCGTCCGGTGCCAGCAGTCGTTTCCCGCCACACGCTGTGGCTTGAACGTCAGACATACTTTCGTGTTTGCGACTGACAAGAGTCGCAGACGATAGATGCAGCAGTTTATGGTTGGTTGATGGCCGATTATTTTTGGCCAGCATTGCCACGCAAGTTCCAATTTTGTGCCAGCTGGCAGATAACATTCTCGCTGATTGGTCCATTCATTTCGTTGCGGAAACACACCGTCGTGGCGCTGCGTCGCGGCGGCGACGTGTTTGCATGGTCCCGTGTTGGCAGTCACGGTCGGTAACTGTTTCGATTCTTGAAATTTTGTGCAGCAAGGCATCCCTGCCCGGTTTTCGGCAGCATGTCAGATAGATCGACTTTTTACCAGCTGGGCATGGGTATGTTGTCGTTATGTACTGTTCGTCATGTAACACGATAGTACGTTGCAGAGGGAACCGCGAAAAGAATCTGCCGGAAAAACAATATACGTTGCGCGCTGATGGCGCGAAGTGTGAAGAAATTATCTTTGCCCACAGTCACGACCCAATGCGTGCCCCAACGGCAGCAGTACTGTGCAACACGTCGCGATAGTCCATCAATCACAGCCACCCACCGTGCTCGCCACATGTACATGCCTTGGGCTGAAAGCCACTGTTTAATTTTATTTGTTTTTTACTTGGCTATCCATATTTAAGAAGCAACGTAGGTCTGGTTTAGTAAGTCCACAATACAAAATTGCAAGTTTAGAACATGAAGCGGTTTACGAGCCATACGTCCTCGTCTGGCGCTGTCCTGACTAGTGATACTGCCC